TGCGGCAAGTTGTCAAATGTCCGCCTTGTGGCAAGTTTGCATGCAAACTTGCAGAAAACTTGCGTGGCAAGGTAAATTAAAATGTCTGCGCAGTAGTTTTATATGACATATAGAGCTGCGCACTACATTTTGTCACCTTCCCCAAGGGGGAAGGCAACATGTAACAAAATATGTACATTTTGAATACAAACAAATTTTTTTGAAAACTTTTTAGAAAGTTTTTAAAGTTTTCAGCAAGTTTGTTACAACTTTTCTGCAAGTTTTCTGTAAAAACTTGTAGCAAGTTTGCATGCAAACTTGCCACAAGGCGGACATTTCACAACTTGCCGCAAGTTTACTGCAAACTTGCCATGCAAATTTTCGAAGTTTGCAATGCAAACTTGCTGCAAACTTGTGGCAAATTGTTGTGCTATCTGGGATGATATATCACTGTCATATATTCAGAGCAATTCAAAGTGTGACGAAGGGGCTGCCTCACAGACCTTATTGCCATCACATGATGCAAAATCAAAAATGAGTTAAGCATTTTTGCACAATAAGAAAAAGTGCAATGAAATCATAATTATTCAGTTTCATCAGAACATATTTCCTAATACTTAACCCTTCCCAATAATTTGTCACACCCAAGCCTCAATTTCATGCAATAAAACTTGTGTGCTTTCGATGTAATTCGCTTCTTCGCGACAGTTAACTCCTGGAGACAGGTTATCGCGAGGTTGACCGTCTGCGAAACTCGACCGGTTCAAGGGTTCGCCACGGGCAATCGAATTCGGGTAGACGTTAAACTCAAAAATCGCGAAGTGTTTGGAATAGATAAGACTGAGAAGTTATAGTGAACACAAAATAAAGAAGTGGAATAATTTAAATCAATTCATTAAAAATAACCTAAAAATTAATATTTACTCTCTCTCGCATATTATACAATTTTGGCAGCCCTTTCGTCACACTTTGAATTGCTCTGAATATATGACAGTGATCATATAACAAACTCAAAGCAATAGTGTTTTAAATTTTCCCGTTTAAATAAACCGTTAATAGTGAAAAGTTCAAAATAGTAATGACTGAGAATTAACAAATGAACAACCCATTAACAAAATAATCAATCATCAAATTTGCCCGTTCTGACCAGAAGAAAGGTTAGTTTTAAATGACACTCTCTCATTCTTCTTGTTTTAGTGCAGTAGGGATTAAGGTTACATAATAAAAAGATAATTGTAAGTAAAAATCAATTATGACTATTGCTAAATAAATATAATATCTTATTTGGTCTAAACAAGATGTTAAATTGTTCTGAACCCATAGTGCTTATATGCAATCCCTAATGAAATTCCTAAAAGTCCTAAATTAACAATAGATTGAAAATTAAATTAATCGAGATATAAAGAGAAGAAGAATACACGATCCCATAAATAAAAACATTTAAATTCATTTAAGTGGTTGTTGTGATCCGAAGATTAAGCTACAACTTTTGTTTTATTAATTAAATAACGAAAGACCTTGTTGAATAACCTATATATATATATATATATATATATATATATATATATATATATATAATATATTATAAACATTTTTCACAACATTAAAATAACCGAATAAACGGTTATTCGGTTATTTCATAATAACCGAATAACCGGTTAATCGGTTATATGGTTAAAACCGGTTATAACCGAATAACCGGTTATTTATCTGTAACCGGTTAACCGGGTTTATAATTACAGTTACAGAATTCAATAACCGCACAGGCCTAGTTTTGCCAACCGTCGGGACAACCGTGGCCCAGAGTTCGGCCGACCCAGAAAGTATAAGTCAATTAAACTGCATTTAACAAAGTTTTGCCAACCGAGGCCCAGAGTTTGGCCGACCAAGAAAATGTAAGGCAATTAAACTGCGTTTCACAGAGATTTGACATACGTCAGGCCAACCGTGGCCCAGTGTTTGGTCGACCAAGAAAGTTTAAGTCAATTAAACTATATTTCTTGAGTTATGTCAACCGTCAGGCCAACCGAGGCCCAGAGTTTGGCCAACCAAATCTGAAAGACTTTTAAACTACGTTTCAATGAGTTGTGAACGCTGAACACGATCCCGACTTCCAAAATTGCCCATCACGTCAGGATTTTGAGAAAAGTGGGATCCCAGGCGGAAAAGTCGGACGAACGTCGGAGTTTACAACAGATTATGCTCCGACTGTCGGAACCGTCTTCCCACTATTGTCAGTACTGGCTCGGTACTGGATTTCTTCCGCCGGCGGATCTTATTCTTCTGCGGCGTCGAAAGAATGACGGATATGTTGAGTCTGTACTGGCTCGGTACTGGGGCGGATCCGACTGCGGATCTCGTCATTTATTGTCACATTATAAATTAAATAATTATTACAAGTAATTGCATTATTTTAGAAAATAATTATTAATAAATGAATTTAATCCATATATTAAGTAATTATTTATTGAGACTTTTTTAAAAATTAAATAATTAGAAAAATTCGTTATTAATTAATATTATATATTATTAATTAATAATATCTCAATAATAATTGAATAATTGTTTCTGAATATAATAATAATGAAGGTAATGATATTAATAATTTTAATTAATATCTCAATAATAATAAATTTATGGTTATTGATATATTATTAATTAATATTAATATTGATAATTTATTATTAATTCTCAATAATATTAATGTTAATTAATAATATATAAAATTAATTAATAATATCTTAATAATAATAAATTTATTATTATTGAGATATTAATTAAAATTATTAATATTATTACGTTGAATATTATTATATTGAAAAACAATTATTCAATATATGTATTATATAATAATAAAAATATAACAAGTTTCTTTTTTAACGAAATATTGAAATAGTCCTTAATATACATTCAATAAAGTATTGAAAATATAGCGGTATCATTGACGCGTAGTAATTCTGCAAGTTTTATTTGAGCTAGTGACACTTGAGAGTATTTCAGATTTGAGAGTCCCATGCGAGTGTAGCATAGTGGTTAGCGTGCGAGATTTTGGTGCGTAAATATTCGGTTAGGCGTAGGTTCGTACCCCCAAGCGTTAGGATTTTTCAAATGTCTATGTAATAAAAAATTGCGTTTAAGTGTATAAAAAATGTGTAAAGTGAACTGTCAATGAATCGTCATTAGTATTTATCTTTTGCAATTAATTATTATTTTTTGTATTGATATTTGCTGAAATTATCATTTGCACTGTAAAAAGAAAGGTACTACTTTAGTACCAAAAGTGGTACTAACCCAATGGGAAATTTACAACTGGCGTAGTACTGCGCCAGCACTGGCAGCACTGGCGGCAAGGCTGAGAGCCAGCACTGGCATAACTCTGGGATGATAACGCCGTCCGGCGCTGCCGAAGTACTGTCTGTCAGTGCTGCCAGACAGCGCTGGCGCAGCACTGGACCAGTGCTGGCTGAGAATATTGCCGCAATAAATGCTGTATTGTTATTAATTAGTCGTAAATTAATAATTATAAATAATTTAACAACAAAATGGTAAATAATATTAATAAATAGTTATTATTCATAAAATATTTCTCTTCTTAAAGAAATTGTATTAAAGATGGAGACTAACAATATGGATATAGTAAATGAAGTAGAAAAAAATTGTTTATAACATTTAAAAATTAAATAATAAACAATTACAGTAAGTGTGCATTAGATTTTCATATTTTAGTACCTAACGATTGGAATCTAGAAATATCGCAAACCTATGAAAATAAACAAAATTGCTGACGAGGGGAATCGAACCTACGACCTACGGACTAACAGACTAACGCTCTAACCACTATGCTAACGACACGTGTGTGCAGTAAAATTTTAATATCTCAGTATCATTCAGACATACAATTATTGAGTCAAAGATGAGAAAAAAATAGGGATACGTTAGAAATAATAAATTGAAATAAAATAAATTAAACTAAATTTTTAAAAATTAAATTACTTTACTTATTGCATTTAACATTTTACGTAATTCTTAAATTACGTGGTAATTTTTTAATAATTTTTTATTTATAGTAAGAAGTATAATAGTATTTTAATAGGAACCAAATTATTATTAAGATTAAAGTTTAAATTTTGTTTATAATTTTAATTTGTTTAAATAATTTATTATTTACAAAATTAGACAATTATGTTAAATTATTATTATTAAATTTAATAAAAATAAAAAATGAACAACTGAAAAGTAAAGTATTAATTTTTTTCAATAAATTTATATTTATAAACATTCATAAACTTTTTTTATAATTTTTTTCAAGTTTATGTCAAAAAAGCAATGTTGGCAAAGAGCGTTGTGAACAATTTTTCTATACTCAGCCAGCACTTGCCGCCGAGCCTTGTCCAAGCTTTGGCGAAACAAAAATTCTGTACTGCGCCAGCACTAATTGTCGAGGCTCGGCTAGACTACGCCGAACAATCGTCTGAGTACTAAGCCAGTGGTGAGCATCGGCACTACACTGGCATTTCCCATTGGGAAATCGTAATTTGGTTCTATTTTAGTATCGAAATCAGCTCTAATTTAGAACCTTTTTTTTATAGTGTGGATCCGACCCGGTTGTCAGTCGGTAGAAATGATAAGACTTCTTATAAAGTTTCAAATATTACGGAAGTTTAGAGAAATTATTCCAATTGTACTTCGTTGTCTCGTCCTCTATATCACTAATTATGTAGTAATGTGATTACTGATCGTTCCTGCACAGTTATTTTAAAGTTAAAATATTCAAATTAAAAAAGTTTCTACCGCCTCCGCTAGGTGGTATGGTGTTCTCTTCCGCTTCCTTCTACCTAATCGCCATTATGTATTTCTGTGCGTTCCAGTGCAGTTTGTAAAAAACAAAGAGAAAGTGAAAAATCACGATAATATGCCGTCCTCAACAAAAAAAACATCGAAAACATCGGAAAAATAAGAAAGGTAATCGAGCTAAGAAAGAAACCTTAGCCAAGACGCTGAAAAAATTGAAAAAATTAAAGAAAACAGTTAAGCACGCGAGTCGACGATCGAGTTCGCCGTCAAATTCATCATCATCATCGTCCAGGTCCAGTTCGTCTTCTTCATCTAAATCAAGTGAAATAAATAGTGCTGCGCGTGATCTGCGAGACACGTCACACAAAAATAAAGTCGTTGCGCGTTACTCTAGAAGTGCGTCACCTGACTCTTATCGAAAACGCAAGCGGTCAAATTCTTTTTCCTCACTCTCTGATGGCACGCGTCATCCTAGAGGTACGATACATCAGAGGCAGGACACAACTGTTGGTGCGCGGTGTTCGAGAAGCCCGTCACAACAATCGCGTCGTAGACGCAGCCGATCCTATTCAAGTGCTGAAAGTGATAGACAAAATAGAAGGCGTCACTCATCATCCAGTTACAGTACCAATACTGTTGATAGTGTAAATAACGAAAGTGCAAAAACCGACGAAGGTGGTGAAAAAACTAATGATAAAGGCAGAGAAAAAAGAAAAAATAGTGAAAAAGAAAACTATAATACCGACAATACTGATGGACAAATTTCGAAGGAAAAATCGAGTGTCGATAATGAAGAAATTATGGTAAACAAACTGGAGGAAAACATCTCCAAAAAGTTAAGTGTTTCCACACCGCTTATTAGTGCAGTTGCACAATCATGGACAAAAATTCTGCAAGCTGGTTTACCAAAAGAGTCAAAGGAAAAATTGTTGGAATTATATCCTCCTCCTGAAAATTGTCCCATTGTGAATGCGCCGATATTAAATAAAGAAGTGAAAAATGCAATGGGATCGGCAGCAATAAAAAAGGATGACTACCGTGTTGCTGACCAGAAACAGTTAAGTGCTGGTTTAAGTGCACTTGGCAGAGCACTGTCATCACTTATCGAGAATGAAGACATATCAAAGAAAATATTATTTGATAATCTTTGTGATGCTGGTAAAATTCTGGCCAATTTGCAGCATTCTTTATCGATGGCAAGGAGAGCCTTCATAATTCCAGGCCTAGATCCATTGCTTAAAACTGCTTTAGAGGAAACAGTTGTTGACACGTATCTTTTTGGGTCAAACTTCTCGGAAATCGTAAAAACTGCAAAAGAAGTGCAGAAGACGGCCAAAGATCTGGAAAAATCTTCTAAACCTCCGAGAGAAAAGAAAACTCCAACTCCAAAGAGCAACACAAAATCGTTCCGAGCATCCAGAAGCGATTTTCCTTTAAACTCGAGAGGCCCTCCCCGGAACAATTCGAAGAGAGAAGGGCAAAGGCCTCAATACCAAACCAGCAGGAAGAAATTCAGCCCGAGGAAATACAGTCCGAAAAAATAGAGGTAAGCGCTATAGCAGGTCGATTAAAATATTTTAAAATTGCATGGGAAGAATTGACTTCCAGCCAATTTATCATTCAATGCATAAAAGGTTATAAAATTCCTTTTTACAATGACCCATGTCAAAATAATAGACCTGAAAACAAAATCTTGTCTTTTTTAGAAGAACAAAAAACATTAAATGCGATACAGCAACTTCTAAAAAAGAATGCGATTGAAGAATGCAGCTCCACCAATGGAGAATTTTTCTCGCCATATTTCCTGAGAGAGAAACCTGACGGGAGTGACAGGTTTATTTTTAATTTAAAAGGTCTAAATAAGTTCATTGACCCACCTCATTTCAAAATTGAAGATGTAAAAACAGCCCTTAAGTTAATAACAAAAGGATGTTTTATGGCGTCAATGGACTTACAAGACGCTTATATGTTAATTCCCATATCTCTCGAAGATAGAAAATTTCTCAGATTCTCATTTCAGAATAAGCATTATGAATATAAATGCATGCCATTCGGGTTGTGTACAGCTCCGTACACATTTACAAAAATTCTAAAATCAATTATAACATTATTAAGAAAAGAGGGTATTGAATTAGTCATCTATTTAGACGATATTCTTTTCTTTGCAAAAACTGAAGAAGAATGTAGGAAAAATGTTCAAAGAACAAAACAGCTCCTTGAATCACTCGGTTTTATAATTAATCAAAAAAAGAGCCAGTTAAATCCTGCAAAGAAATGTACTTTTCTCGGTTTTGTCTTCGATAGTGTCGATTTTTCAATTCAACTAACATTGAAAAAACGAGATTCTATCGAAAAATTACTAAAAGAATTTTTAAGTAAAAGCAGTTGTAAAATAAGAGAATTTGCGAAATTAATTGGTACATTGATTGCTGCATGTCCAGCCATTAAATATGGCTGGCTTTATACAAAAGCACGCGAGAGAGAAAAGTACACAGCTCTGCAGAATTCTAACGGAGATAAAAGTATGTCGATGGATGTATCAAAGGTAGCAAAGCAAGAACTAAATTGGTGGCTTATCCACATAAAAACCTCAAAGAATCCCATTAGAGAAGAAAATTATGCACGAATAATTTTTACTGATGCCTCTTTGACTGGATGGGGAGCATTTTCCAAAGGAGAAACAGCTCATGGATGGTGGAGTGATAAGGAGCAAGATTTTCACATCAATCTGTTAGAACTTAAAGCTGCACTATTTGGGTTGCAATGTTTTTCCAGTAATGACAAAAATTGCGAAATATTGCTTCGAATGGACAATACAACAGGAATTTCGTATGTTAACAAAATGGGAGGAATTCGTTATCCAAAACTAACGGAGCTTAGCAGAGAAATCTGGAAATTCTGTGAAAATAGAAATATTTGGCTTCACGCAGCGTACATAAAATCCAAAGACAAAGTGGAAGCCGACAAACAGTCAAGAATATTACCAACCGAGACTGAATGGGAATTAGCTGACTGGGCCTTCAGACAAATAGAAAAAACTCTTGGCAAACCAGATATAGATCTATTTGCATCAAGAACGAATGCAAAATGTCGGAGATACGTTTCATGGCATAGAGATCCAAAATCGCTAGCAGTTGATGCATTCACGATAAATTGGTCTGGTCAATTCTTCTATGCATTTCCCCCTTTCTCACTACTATTAAGAGTGATGAGAAAAATTCAAGTTGATAAAGCTGAAGGTATTGTTGTGGTTCCTCTATGGCCCTCACAACCATGGTACCCAATTTTCTCATCACTCATGATAGGAGAACCTCTAATTTTTAAAACAAATAAAAATTTATTGCTTTGTTCTTCCAGACAGCCGCATCCGTTATCGACGAAGCTTTCCCTGGTGGTCGCCAAATTATCAGGCAAGCCTTCCTTGCCAGAGGAGCGACGGAAGACGCGGCTACAATGATGCTTAAATCCATCTCAGAAAAAACAATAAACCAATACAATAAAGGGATAAAATTATGGTGGGAATACTGCAGGAAAAAGCAGATCCCATTATTCAACTGTTCAACACCAGAAATTTTACAATTCTTCTCGGAAACTTTGGAAAATGTCAAATCCTACAGCACTCTGAACTGCTATCGAGCTGCATTATCATTGTTAATGGGGAATGAACTAGGAGGAAATGCAGAAATATCTCGTTTTTTCAAAGGAGTGTCGAGAGAAAAACCTCAAAAACCCCGATATCAAAGCACTTGGGATCCAGAAGTGGTTTTAAATCACTTAAGAACCTTTTCTAAAAATGAAGACCTTCCACTCGAGAAATTATCCAAAAAATTGGCAATACTATTAGCCCTAGTTACTGCTCAAAGAGTCCAAACTCTATCAAAAATTCGCATCGATGACATAACAGAGTCTCAAACGCTAATACAGATAAGAATATCCGAGAGAATAAAAACATCAGGACACAACAGATGTCAACCCATTCTCAATATACCTTTTTTCGATGATCAGCCAAACCTATGTGCAGCATCCACACTTCGAGTATATCTACGTAGAACCTCGGAATTTCGAACAGAGAAGAACAAAACTCACCTATTCTTAGCATATAAAAAACCACATCAGGAGGCAACGACACAAACTATCAGCCGATGGATGAAGGTTATTATGGAAGAAAGCGGATTAGACACCACACACTTCAAACCACATAGTACGAGGCACGCATCCACTTCTGCGGCAGCGCGTAGAGGAACAAATATTGAAACGATCATGAAAACAGCAGGATGGACTCCTAATTCAAGAGTTTTTGCAAATTTTTATAACCGACCTATTATTCCGGAAACAAATTTTGCAGCTACAATTATCCAAAGACTGGATAATTCATTTTTTTCTCATTTAATTCTTTTATTTTTCTTATATTTCTTAATTCTTTTCCATTAATACAAAAATATAATATTATATATTGTTACGAGAAACAAATTATATAATAAACAAAAGATATTCGCAACGCACTTTAAATAACTACATAATTAGTGATATAGAGGACGAGACAACGAAGTACAATTATGTGATTGAACGAACTTACCTTAAGTGATGTTCAATCTCAATTGTACGAGTTGTCTCGTCCGAATATATCACTCCCACCCCTAAATTATTCAAAATTATGCAATTTTTTTTCCTCACATCAAACCCGCATCCAATATTACAGCGTTGCGATAAAAATACTTTAAAATATAATGGCGATTAGGTAGAAGGAAGCGGAAGAGAACACCATACCACCTAGCGGAGGCGGTAGAAACTTTTTTAATTTGAATATTTTAACTTTAAAATAACTGTGCAGGAACGATCAGTAATCACATTACTACATAATTAGTGATATATTCGGACGAGACAACTCGTACAATTGAGATTGAACATCACTTAAGGTAAGTTCGTTCAATCATATAATTTTTATTTTATAATTAATGGTATTTATATTTTAAAACAGTAATATTTTAAAAATAAATTTTTTTTTGGAAACGTAATATATAAAAAAAGCAGGCTTCGCACTCATCTACTAAAATCTATACTATTTACTCCTTTTTTTGTCAAATTTCTGACACTAAAAGATACATTTTCACAAATTACATTAGTTTAAATCCTCAATGATTGAAAAAAATTATTCTCAATCAATTTTTTGTGATTCGATTAAAACGAGATTTTTTTAATCGTTAAATTTTAATTTTTCGATTGCTACTTTTTACTACTATTTTCAGATTTAAAGCTACTTTCTGCTACCTTTTTAAAAGTAATTGTCGAGTGCGAAGCCTGAAAGAGTAATAATTTATTAACTATTTGACAATGGTATTGAATAATATAATTTTAATAATATTTTATTTTATTAATAAAATATTAATATTAATATTTTATTTAATTATAAATTATAATTGTTATTGAAAATTCTTCTAAACAATTGGAAATTGAAGAATGTTCGCAATATTTTTTAAATATTAAATTACCATGTATTGATGCGCAAAACTCCAAGGATTAATTTAAAAAAAGACAAATCAGTAAACTCCAATATTATAGAAATTGTGTAGAATTTTCTGCCAAAATGCAGTCGAAAATCGACTTTTAATCTTAAAAATCCGCTTGGAAGCGTGAAGTTTCCAACAAAACAAGAGAAGATCTTATTTATATTCGTTTGCAATTTTATTTCTTTCCCGGAGCTCGAGTCGATTGTCGTCTGCATTTTGTCAATAAAATAATTTTTTTGCCAATAAATTTATATTCTTAATTATACCTATTACAACTTTTATACTCACTTTATAATTTTTCTATAGTTATTAATATAATTTTTCTATAATTTTTCTATAGAAAAATCCCAGTAAAAAAACTAATTCAAATGAATTAAAACGAATTAACATTTTTGGTAGGCTCCAATTCGTATTTGTCACAAAGCGGGATTCACTCAAGCTCTTTGTATATTCAATATTGAATTTAATTCAATATGTACCAATTTGTCCAAACGAATTCGCATTCGAAAGAAATGGCCAAGGAATGCATTGAATTCGTGCTAACGAATTGAAAAAAATTAAAGGCTCAAAACTTGTCCAGTGAATTGGTACGGATAGAAGGTTCGGAAGTTCAATACAGTTTCACGAATTCAGGAAAATTGCATCATGGCTCCAATTCGTATTTGTCACAAAGCGGGATTCACGAAAGCTCTTTGTGAATTCTTTTTAATTCATTTCAATTAGTTTTCGTTTACTGGGATGCAATTTGTAATTGTTTTTGTTTAATAACTTTTCTTTATCGTCACTACATCTTAAGGCTCGATTTTAATCATCAGAGCTTCACTTTGATCAGAATCTAAAAAAAAGAAGTCACATATTTTAAGAGGTTAAAATAATGAAATATTTATAGAATTCAATACCATTGTCAATAATTAATAAATTATTACTCTTTCAGGGTTCGCACTCGACAATTACTTTTAAAAAGGTAGCAGAAAGTAGCTTTAAATCTGAAAATAGTAGTAAAAAGTAGCAATCGAAAAATTAAAATTTAACGATTAAAAAAATCTCGTTTTAATCGAATCACAAAAAATTGATTGAGAATAATTTTTTTCAATCATTGAGGATTTAAACTAATGTAATTTGTGAAAATGTATCTTTTAGTGTCAGAAATTTGACAAAAAAAGGAGTAAATAGTATAGATTTTAGTAGATGAGTGCGAAGCCTGCTTTTTTTATATATTACGTTTCCAAAAAAAAATTATTTTTTAAAATATTACTGTTTTAAAATATAAATACCATTAATTATAAAATAAAAATTGGAATAATTTCTCTAAACTTCCGTAATATTTGAAACTTTATAAGAAGTCTTATCATTTCTAAAAGTATGAACGTGAATTCAAAAAAACTTTTACGTTAGCTAATTTAAAAAATTAATTAAATGAAATTCAAATTATTTTCTAATTAATATATATATATATATATATATATATATATATATATATATATATATATATATATATATATATATATATTATATATTATATTATTATTATATATTATTATTATTATATATATATATATATATATTATTATTATATTATATATATTATATATTATTATATATATATATATATTTTATTTTTTCAATATTACAATTGTTAATAAATTATATTTTATTTGTCTTCAAGAAAACTTAAGTACTTTCTAAGTTTAAAATAAATGCAATTAATTTATAATTATGAAAGTAAAATTAAGTATAATACAATAAAGAATTCTTAATCTCGTTATTTAATTAAAATACAAACTAATTCTATAAAAATAAAGAGCTTTTGAAAATATCAAAAAATCTTATTATTAAAGCAATTATTAAATTATTCCAAAGAAAAAATATAAATAAAAACGATTTAAAAATAAAATGTTTCATAAATTAGTTATTAAAAAATTTTCCACATTTCTCTAAACAATAATAATAATATTTATTATTATTATTATTAATATAAAGTAAAAACAGCAACTTACCTCAAAAATGTTATCCGCAATTGATATAGAACATTTAATTAATTACCATTTAATTAACACTTCACTTAAATTTATTTTCACTACCCAGGTGCGATTTTTTGGTCGGCCCATAGTTGGGCCAACTTTTACAAAGTCGGTCCAACTTCTCGTGCCAGAGGTTGGGACAACCATACAGATGATAACGGCGACCGACTAATGGCGACGATGGTTGGCCCGACAACTCATAAGGAAGTTGGCCCAACTTACAATGCATATGTTGTGCCAACTATACATTTCAATGGTTGGTCCAAAGACTAACGCCAAAGTTGGCACAACTTTAGATGCGTAAGTTGGGCCAACCACAATTTTCAAAGTTTGGCCAACTTCAACAGCCAAAGGTAAAAAATTATTAAAAAACTACATTATTTAAACAATTAACACGTTATTATTAGCGGGAACATCAGATATAACCTTTACCTATTATTATTAAACACAATCTCATACATACATTTTCGAAAATATCTATCGCTCGCTGGGATCGAACCCCTAACCTAACGCACCGAAGACTTATACACTGACCACTACGCTACGCTCACATGGGAGTGCATAACGCAAAATGTATATTTAAGCTGCAACAGTCGGGCCAACCGTGGCCCAGAGTTCGGCCGACCAAGAAAGTTTAAGTCATTTAAACTGCATTTGACAAAGTTTTGCCAACCGTTGGGCCAACCGTGGCCCAGAGTTCGGCCGACCAAAATAATGTAAGTCAATTAAACTGCGTTTCACAAAGTTTTGCCCACCGTCGGGCCAACCGTGGCCCAGAGTTCGGCCAACCAAAAAAGTGTTAGTCATTTAAACTGCGTTTCTAGAGTTTTGCCAACCGTTGGGCCAACCGTTGCACAGAGTTCGGCCAACCAAGAAAGTTTAGGTCATTTAAACTGCGTTTCTAGAGTTTTGCCAACCGTTGCCCAGAGTTCGGCCAACCAAGGAAAATCAAGTCAATTAAACTGCGTTTCACAGAGTTTTGCCAACCGTTGAGCCAACCGTGGCCCAGAGTTCGGCCAACCAAGAAAGTTTAAGTCATTTAAACTGCGTTTCTAGAGTTTTGACAACCGTTGGGCCAACCGTTGCCCAGAGTTCGGCCAACCAAGAAAAATCAAGTCAATTAAACTGCGTTTCACAGAGTTTTGCCAACCGTTGGGCCAACCGTGGCCCAGAGTTCGGCCAACCAAGAAAGTTTAAATCAATTAAACTGCGTTTCACATAGTTTGCCAACCGTTGGGCCAACCGTTGCCCAGAGTTCGGCCAACCAAGAAAAATCAAGTCAATTAAACTGCGTTTCACAGAGTTTTGCCAACCGTTGGGCAAACCGTGGCCCAGAGTTCGGCCAACCAAGAAAGTTTAAGTCAATTAAACTGCGTTTCACATAGTTTGCCAACCGTTGGGCCAACCGTGGCCCAGAGTTCGGCCAACCAAAAAAAATCAAGTCAATTAAACTGCGTTTCACAAAGTTTTGCCCACCGTCGGGCCAACCGTGGCCCAGAGTTCGGCCAACCAAAAAAGTGTTAGTCATTTAAACTGCGTTTCTAGAGTTTTGCCAACCGTTGGGCCAACCGTTGCCCAGAGTACGGCCAACCAAGAAAAATCAAGTCAATTAAACGGCGTTTCACAAAGTTTTGCCCACCGTCGGGCCAACCAAGAAAATTTAAGTCAATTAAACTGCGTTTCACAGAGTTTTGCCAACCGTTGGGCCAACCGTGGCCCAGAGTTCGGCCAACCAAAAAAATGTTAGTCAATTAAACTGCGTTTCACAGAGTTTTGCCAACCGTCGGGCCAACCGTGGCCCAGAGTTCGGCCAACCAAGAAAAATCAAGTCAATTAAACTGCGTTTCACAGAGTTTTGCCAACCGTTGGGCCAACCGTGGCCCAGAGTTCGGCCAACCGAAACTGAAAGTCTTTTAAACTACGTTTGGATAAGTTGTGCCAACCTTTGTCGCCAAAGTTGGCCCGACGGTTGGTTAAACTCTGCATTTTATGGTTGGCTTGCAAAGTCGGGCCAACTGTGGGCACAAGTACGTGCCAAAGGTGGGCAAACTCTGGCAACCAAAACTTTGCTTGCCAAAGTTAGGCCAACCTTGGGCCAACCTTCAAACTCTGGCGGCCAACCTAAATTCGCACCTGGGTATACGGAGCGAAATTGGCAAGAAATTGAATTCACTTGACAAATTTCTATACCAAGAACACCTAGCTCCGTCTCTCGAACAAACTTTTCACTTTCCTCAAATATGACAAATGTGGGGCTTTTGTCCAGTGGCGCATTTGAGAACTTAAGGTAAGTTCTCAAATGCGCCACTGGACAAATGCGCCACCGGTCAAATGCGCCACGGATCAATTGCGCCACTGGACAAAGGCCCCACATTTGTCATATTTGAGGAAAGTGAAAAGTTTGTTCGAGAGATGGAGCTAGGTGTTCTTGGTATAGAAATTTGTTAAGTGAATTCAATTTCTTGCCAATTTCGCTCCGTATAGTGAAAATAAATTTAAGTAAAGTGTTAATAAACTGGTAATTAATTAAATGTTCTATATCAATTGCGGATAACATTTTTAAGGTTAGTTGCTGTTTTTATTTTATATTAATAATAATAATAATAATAATAAATATTATTATTATTGTTTAAAGAAATGTGGAAAATTTTTTTAATAACTAATTTATGAAACATTTTATTTTTAAATCGTTTTTATTTATATTTTTTCTTTGGAATAATTTAATAATTCCTTGAATAATAAGAATTTTTGATATTTTCAAAAGCTATTTATTTTTATAGAATTAGTTTGTATTTTAATTAAATAACGAGATTAAGAATTCTTTATTGTATTATACCTAATTTTACTTTCATAATTATAAATTAATTGCATTTATTTTAAACTTAGAAAGTACTTAAATTTTCTTGAAGACAAATAAAATATAATTTATTAACAATTGTAATATTGAATATAATTCTATTTTCTAATTTTAATTTTATTTAATTAATTTTTTAAATTAGCTAACGTAAAAGTTTTTCTGAATTCACGTTCATACTTTTAGAAATGATAAGACTTCTTATAAAGTTTCAAATATTACGAAAGTTTAGAAAAATTATTCCAATTTTTATTTTATAATTGATGGTATTTATATTAAAAACAGTAATATTTTAAAAAATTATTTTTTTTTTGGAAACGTAATATATAAAAAAAGCAGGCTTCGCACTCATCTACTAAAATCTATACTATTTACTCCTTTTTTTGTCAAATTTCTGACACTAAAAGATACATTTTCACAAATTACATTAGTTTAAATCCTCTAATGATTGAAAAAAAATTATTCTCAATCAATTTTTTGTGATTCGATTAAAACGAGATTTTTTTAATCGTCAAATTTTAATTTTTCGATTGTTACTTTTTACTACTATTTTCAGATTTAAAGCTACTTTCTGCTACTTTTTTAAAAGTAATTGTCGAATGCGAAGCCTGAAAGAGTAATAATTTATTAATTATTTGACAATGGTATTGAATTGTATAAATATTTCATTATTTTAACCTCTTAAAATATGTGACTTCTTTTTTTTAGATTCTGATCAAAGTGAAGCTCTGATGATTAAAATCGAGCCTTAAGATGTAGTGACGATAAAAAAAAATTATAAATAATTAGGCATCACAGACCGTTACAATTTTAAAAATTATATTAAAGCCAAATAATGTAATTAAAAGTTTTAAAAAATATGTTAAAATTGAATCTCAATTTTTCGACCAAATTTTGTAACTTTATTCGTCAATTAAATTTTTTTAAATAAAATCCTTATTTACCCCTCTATTATTGCTAAATTAATATCTATCCTATCTCTCAAAAATATTAAACAAAAACAATTACAAATTGCATTATTCTATAGAAAAATTATAGAAAAATTATATTAATAACTATGGAAAAATTATAAAGTGAGTATAAAAATTGTAATATAATTAAGAATATAAATTTATTGGCAAAAAAATTATTTTA